GTCCTCTCGATGGCAAAATTGCGGACAAATATTGATTAATGAACGCGAGAATCTCGTTAACTCTAAATAATTACTAAACTCTGATGTCAGCGATGTGTATAAAAGAGAACTAAAATATATCTGAGGTTAATTTATCAATCGTTCGATAATCAATGAATAAATAATCCGTTTTAGAATATTAATTAATTGTTTACGTTGGCGATATTTTACAAACTATGTTAGCGACACGTATGCGTAACGTACATACATAGATTTACGCAATGCACTATCGATATTCTTTGCAGAGCGATCTATTAATACACTTCAAAGTAAGCTGCTATTTGGCGTGAATCAACGATCTGACTAATTTGCGATGTCGTTCGAAACATCACTGTTCTAAAACGTGTGCGACAACGCGCGCGCGCATTCTGAATTTAGCCGAAGAAATAATATCAAAAGATACACACACTCGCGATATTGCGGCCGATGTGTATTCGCAGGACATTGCCAGAGTAGAGAATATTTCCCGCACTTAAATTACACACAAATTATTTCACCCGTCACGCGTCCGCACGACGTGAGTCCTCTTCCGTAAGTTTGCAAGAGCACATAAAACTTTTATTTATTAACGAGAAAAAGGGGATGCGGAAAAAAACTTGATAGCTTTTCTCAAGGACTTCTCTTGTATATTTTGAATATATTTACGCTTTACGTCGGCTTTCAAATATTCAACCGTGGAAATTCGAGCTGACCCGGAGTTGACTGTTGACACCTGGACAACCGAAAATAATCGATATTGCGTTTTCTTTTGATCTTCCATTCACCCTCCCTTTGGTCGAAAGAGACGCAGTAGTTTTGTACACCCTGTGTATCCGGCGGCACACGCTCGCCATCCATCCAATATTTCTGGACGGCTCTTTCTCTCTTTTTCTCCCTCTCTTTCCCTTTCTCTCTCTCTCTCTCTCTCTTTCTCTCTCTCTTTCTCTCTCTCTTTCTCTCTCTCTCTCTCGAGTCCGGTCGCAAACGGCAACGCGGAGAAGTGCAGATAGCCGGGCGGTTTATCGACTCTCCGCGGTGTTAAGCGTCGCCCACGCATTTCGAAAGAAAGAGAAAAAGAGAGAGGGAGGCAGGGGAAAAGAGGAGTGAGAAAGATAGAAAAACCGCAGTCGGCGCGATGGACGAGGCTGTTTATTGTTATCGCTATCGTTGGTTGAGCAAGGGAAGCTGATATGCGCGGCCACTAGCACACGTGCCACTCTTTGCGTGCATGAGCCACCGAGAAAGCTACCAATAAGACTTTATACGCTTTCTGTTTTAACCCTCTCTCTTTTTAAGTATGCTTGGAATATTATCTGGTTTTGAAGAGAGACAAAGAGGGACCAAGCGAAAAGTATTAGTTTTTTTTAAACAATTTTGAAACAAAAATATTTCATTTTCCTCATTAAAAATATGACAAAAATGTTCAGAAAATCATCAGAAAGTTTTTTCAATGAGATATGTAGTGACAAAACATCATATTGTTTTACAATTTAAAAATGACAAAAATATTCAGAATATCATCAGAAAATTTTTTCAATGAGATATGTAGTGACAAAACATTGTTTTACAATTTATACATAATATATAATGTTTAAATATTTTTATATATTTATTTATAATCAATATTTATTTATATTTATTATATATACATGTAATGTTTATAGAAGTTTTATGTTAACGTTTGGTGGTAACGGTAATAGACAACGATAACAACGGTGCTGCGCCATTTAGATATCGAGGACGAGTCCGTAAATTCCGATAATTTTTTTACCCGTTCTCGTCGTTGTCGATGTTGAAAGAAATTTCGCTGACTCAGTCAGCGTACAGGCCGCGGGCTTCTTCTTCGGGTCTGAACGCTCTGAAAAAGAGAGGCCAAGTTACAATTTACTGGCGATAACGCTGTATCTCGGTAGGTCGTGACGTAAGGTTATCATATATGCTTTTCCGTGGTCGGATCGCATTCGGTCTCGCATTTTCAAACAAATTACCGTTCGCAGCTGGCACAACGGTTCTATTTTTCAAAACCGACGTTGCGCAATATTTGTTAACACTGCCGATTGCTCGTCGCAGAGCTGTGAAGAAAAACACTGGACACTTTGCCGATTAGAAACGACGGAGACTCTCTCCTGTGCGAAGCGCACAGAATTTGCAAGTGTCCACGCATGTAATTAATCATCACCGGACACTGTGCCAAAAAATGAAACACAAAAATGAAACTTGTACTCAAAATTGACAATTCGTCACAATTGAGTACATGAAATTAATCAGCTAAATATGTGGTTGGCAAATATATAACAAATTTATCTTCATGCCCTGTTGCTCCGAGCTTTTCGAGCAAGTAAAATTAAAAATGTTTTATATATAAGAGATACGAACACGTGTGCAATGATTGATAACCTTGCTTAAAAACGAACATCTCACAAATTATGTAACAACGCGCATTTCTCCTTCGTATCAAAATTCTCTTCACTCTGAGTGAAGTGTTCGCTTCTGAAATTTTTCGATATCTCTCTTCGCGTTCATGTCTATTAGGTGCGCGTGTTGATTATTTTGTTTACTTGTAATTTTTCGCTTTAAAACTCTTTACTGCTCTTCAGCGCTCCGATAAAAATTGACGTGTGCTTCAACGTTGTTCTTGTTTTTTTTTTTTTTGTTTTTTTATTACTCAATGACCACGTCGGCACAAAGTGATACTCGCGCGCGAATAACACACACGGAGAAAGAAAAAGAAGGAACAAGCAAAGATTCGCGCAGGTAAGAGACGAGAGAAAGAGAGAGAGAGAGAGAGACGCAGTTTCTACCAGCAGTCGAGCGACATTTCTGGCGGCATTCTACTCGTTTCCATGCCGGCATCTCGTGACCGCGGATTCCGCGCACGTTATTTACTCCGCGGTTTCGCGAAAATGAGAGGAGAAAAGGAAAGAAAAAAAAAAAGAGGGAGGGCAGGAACACACACTCTTGTGCAAGCTTCGCCGCAGGTGAAAGTCTCTTTGCAGTCTGCGAGAGCTCGTTGCCGGACCGCTCTCGAAATGGATAAGGATCTCGAGGATCGATCGCGCGCGCTCGCCGCATTCGTGAGAAATTTATACGGCCAATCACGGCCGACTGTCGTTTCTCGTATTGTTTCGTCGGATTGCGGAATTGTCGAGGGATAAAATCGCGATCAAATCCAAATTCGGTCATTCGCGGATTTAGAGAGAACTTTGCAAAAGTTATTTGCGTTATTCGCGTCCAACAACAAGACACTACTGCGAATCGACTTGCGATTCTCACGCAACGCGTGCGGTGCGCGTGCGGTTGTAGCGTCTCGTTAATTTGTTCGTNANNAAANCNGNNAATAAAAAAAAAAACAAAGGCGAGCGGAATTTATCTCCGTGCAAACAAAAAAAAAAAAAAAAAAAAACAAGATGAGCTACATTAATATTTTCGATTTGCAAATAATTCGCGACGTTGCACGTGGCTTAATGAGCCCATTACCGCACGCGATGGTGATTCATTACAGGATACGGGACAATGCGGGGAGACACTTTGAGGAACGCGCATTCCTGTGATACCTTCGCCGCGATCTGTTACGTAAGGATACGGATGCAATGTATGCACGTAAAAAGATTACGTAGCGTCACGAAACTTATAATCTTGGGTGAAAAGCAAAATTCGACAGTTCCAAGCAAAGAGTTGAATTAGAATTTGACGACTCTTCGTTTTTTACAGCTGTATTTTATATACTTCCTATTGTTTTCGTATCTTACAAGTCCAATATCCTCTCAAGATCAGCATCCGATCCGAAGTCGTCCTGTTCCTCGCAACAGTCCAAAAACCGAAGAAGCGTTAAATTAAGTAAATAGATAATTATATCAAAAACACACAGGACTAGGGAAGGGGGAGGAAGAAATAAGAGGGGGAGAGGAAAACGACGGCGAGAAGGCAGCTCGTAATTTATGTCTACGCAGCAGCAGCAGCGGCGGACGGCGCGTTGAACACTCGGAACACGACGGTGGCTCGGATTGGTCGCCTTCGGGCGCCTTATAGGGTCGCATACATGCGCGCGGGTGCACGAGCGCGGCGCACTGTGTCTTGGCGATATCCATCAGAGGCGACCGGCTACCATCGTCGTGTTACTCTTTCTCTCCGCGCGTTTCTTCCCTCTAGTGACAGCAGCGACGGTTGCAGGCCCGTCGTCACTTCACGTTCTCCGTTCCCCGTGGAGGAGAGCTCCGGTCCGATCGGTCCTCCTCGTCTTTTCCGCGTCTCTTTGTCCCTGTGATCCTTCACCTGCTCTTCATCTTCTCCTCCTCGTCGTTTTGCTGGTCTCTTTAATCTGCTTTGGTCCCCTTTATCTCTCGGCTGCTTCTTACTTGTCTCAGTCTTTCTTTTATTTTTTATGTTCTCTCTCTCTCTCTCTCTCTAACTTTCTCTCTCTCTCTATCCTCTCCTTATTTTTTGCGTCTTAGTACTTTCCTGATCTTCTTTTTCACACCTCGTCGAAGTACATCGATCTGTTAACTTATTTATTTTTTGGCGACTTTAGTAATATACACTTTTAGTCTTTTCCGCGCGCAATCTTCGTTTCTTCTACTCAGGGATTGGAAAAGATGAGAGTAAATATATGTATATTTGTATATTTTTCATGTCACGTTACTGAAGTTTATGAAAAATCAATCACGCTACATACGTGTAAAACAATGACGTTTTTATTTATCCTTAATTATAAAGAAAAAAGTACCAACAATATGTAATCGTGGAACTTCCGCCAGGAAAACGTTTGACATAACATTTGTATTTATGTACATTGCATTTAAAATACTCCACTCGGCGTTTCCTCGACAAGATACACGTAACTACTTCAATGTGCCAACTAAAGTGTCGAATACATCGATTTGTTTCAGCAGCCGCCCAGCTCGCAGGAGCGTGGCAGCGGCTTGGCTGCAGGACGCCAAGGGGGACCCGGTAGTACGGGAGGGCCCGGAGCGGTGGACCAGGCGCGAGATCTGAGTCCCTGCCTTCCCGCGTCGATGGGCGATGCCGCGCGACCGACTACCTTACCGTGCAGTCCTCCCGCCGCCCATCATCATGGGTCCCATCATACGCCTCTGCATCAGACCCATTGCGGCACTAACAACAACTGTTACGACAGGTCGACCACCCCTTACGACTCCAGGGACTACGACTCTCCCGAAGGTATGATTGTTTTACTTGTCGCAGGAGGTGATGGGAAGGGCGGAAGGATACGAGCTCTGCGTTAAGCGGAAATTCAGTAATGAAGATTTATTTAAGTTTGAATTGGATGCTTTAATGTTACATTTCCTAGTTAAGTATTGTATTGTAAAAAGTGCAAGATGCAATAACACCGGTGTGTGTAACAAAGAGAGACATACGTAATCTCTAACAATTTATCCCGATGCGTTTCTCAGGGAGTGGACAGGAATACAGGAACAACAGCGGCAACTTCGACAACGCCAGTGACCTGAACATGCAGTCGCAGACGGCGCATCATCATCACCATCACCATCATCACCACCATCATCATCCCCATCTGCACTCGCAGGAACAGCAGACGACGGATCTGCACCCCGTTCCGAAATTGGAACCGCCGCCCACGCCACCCGCACAATCCGAGGATGTTCCCGGGGTGGTTTGCGCGGGATGCGGCCTACGAATATCAGACAGATTTTATCTCCAGGCCGTCGACAGGAGATGGCACGCCGCGTGCCTCCAGTGCTCACACTGTCGCCAGGGCCTCGACGGCGAGGTCACCTGCTTCAGCAGGGACGGGAACATCTACTGCAAGAAGGACTACTATCGGTGAGTGAACGCGCATTTTGCTACTTGTATAATCGCAATCTTTCGAATATTTTCTGCAATTAAAACCAAATTCACTAATTTACTTTTTCTCGTAAAAGATCAAGGATTAACTTTTGGCGAAAATCTCAATTTCAAAGTGCAAACTCTGTGTATGTATGTGTTAGCTTATCAGTTGGTTTGCGCCTGGTTGAACAGTCTCGTCCTATTTCGATGTAATGTGAGGCCGCGCGCGCCGGCTCATTGCGAGTTACCGAGAATAGTCGCGCGCTGCTCACGCGAGCAAGTCAAGCGCGAAGCAATTTCTGCGATTCCAGGGCCGATTTGAAGAGTCGTTTCTGAACATGTGCCGCTCCTTGCGTAACTCGCGCGTTTCTCCGTTGCGAGTGGGTGCAAGATAGTCGTGTGATTTCGGTCGTTACAAATGTCCGCAAATAACTACAAATTGCGCACGGTGGAATTGCATTCCGAAGATCTTCGTGCGGGAATTTTTTTTCGAAATTATATTATTTGCTCGCGTGAGAGAAATATGTGATTTTATTTTATTTTTTTTTTTTTTCAAACCTGTCAGGTAACGGGTTGGTATTCGAGCGTATCCGAGTATTAAAGAAATTTACCCGGATAGTACGTCGACCAGCAGCGGTAAAATACGGACGTGAGTTCGTAAAAGAACAAATTGTATTTAATTTGCAAAGTGCATATTTACATTGTGTGTTACACATGGTACGCTTCGATTAAATTATAATCTCTGTATTCATGAGAATATTTACATAACATACACGCACAAACGGAAGACCGAATTAGAAGTAAGAGCTGTGTTGGATTTCCGAAAGTGTTAGATAACTAGACGTAACGAGAGCGAAGGCCGAACTAAGTAACTCTTTATAAATGTATCGACCGCCGCTCTCGAGATGTGTCGTTATGCAAAGTCGTAGCGGTGGGCCTGACGTTGTGTTGGGGTCCTACTGGGCCTCACACGGTGTCGATTCGCGTTGTTGCTTCGTAGAGGTACGGACCAGCCCCATACGTACATGGTCCACGGACTAATGGTCACGATTCAACCATTTACCTCCGGCGGAGCGTCGATTGTTGAAGAGAAAATCTCCGTTGTGATCTAGATTTCACGAGCGGTAGAAGAATGTGTGTGTGTGTGTGTATGTGAATTCATATCAAAAGTCAACTGTCGTTTACATCATTCAATTATTAATTTTGCAAACCGTTTGCAAGTTTACTTAGTCGAGTAAATTTTCTCTCGAAATTATAACTTGAATATTTATTTCAATTATTTGTATTAATGAGGATTAGAAAAGAAAAAATAATATTATTACAATAATATTATTTAGTTAGAATGCAGATATTGTTCATATAATTTTAACGATATATTTTCAAAAACACAGCATATATACTTCGTAGATATTGTGAGAAGTTTAATATTTTGATATTCACACACACACATATGAATTCTGACTGTTGAGATGACAATCGACTTTTTTTGCCTGTACGCAGATTTAATTTTTCGTTGCTCGTCGTTGCGTTGCCACAACACAAGCTCGTAAATCACAACTTCATAGGTGTCTCTTTAATGTCTTATCGTCTCAAAATCGTCGCAAACGAAGATAACTCACCCGTTGGTTCCGTCGCAATTTCGGGAATTGCCTGTCTTCGTCTTTCTTTCTATTTTCTCTTTCTCTCTCTCTCTCTGATTCTTTCTCTCCCTGTCTCTCTGCGCCTTCAAAATCATATTAACCGATCTTAGAGGGTGAGTTCGAGATCGCGGGATAAGCAGCTGGTTTCGTCGGACGCGTGCTCGTCGCAACCGAAAGCGACGGAAGGAAGAGACGGACGAGAATCGCACGCATGTAGTTCGAAGAACTAAATTAGCCAACCAGTCTCATCACTTTTGGCTATTCGGTTCGTTAGGTGGCTGATGTGATCTCTTAACAGTGTACCTAATAATATAAATAAATATACTAATAAAATGTGTGAGACACACACGCCGCAGTTATTTCGAACTGCGTCTCTATGTGCTTTATCTTCATTTTTCAATATTCCTTAAAGTGTCTTCTGTTCACACTCAAGTTTTTATTCAATAACGAATTACTCGACCTAACTACAATAATATTCCGCAACACGAATACTTTCGAATACTCACAAAATGAACAACATTCGGATATTCGAGTGACATCTCTCATTCGCGAAATCATCAGCCCAAATGCTCGGACATTAGGATTTCACGTGTGTTTCTAGTCAGGAAACATGTTCCCGGGAGATGCGCACGCGTCGTATTCACGCGTGGTGCATCCGTGCACGCGAGATGTGTGTGCGCGCGCGCGCGTGCATGCGTGCGTGCGACGCTACGCGCCGTCATACGAAGAGCCGACATCGAGGATGGAATAGCACAGACATCCCGTCACGACACGGTTTTAGCCTAAAGCCTTATCTTGGCGCTTCGCATGCGCGCGATCTGTTCGTAATGCACACACGTGTTTGCGACGATGCCGGGGACTGTTATTAGTCGACGACGGGGACGTCGCGCGCGTCCGTGCAGTGAACTCGACTTCTCCATACATTTTTATGGGATTTATTTCGTTAATTTTTACCGCTTGAATTTGTTGAAAACGCTTTCTCGGGATTTTACCCGAGATAAAATTAATTTCGAAAAACTTCAGAACACATAACGCGCTAAAGAAAAAAAATTTAGAAGTGAATGAAATGTTTGAAAATATTTACGATATTGTTGCGTATTTCAAATTTTTTTACACGTATCAATGACAGTCTTAAACAAATTACTTTCCCCGCTGCGACGTTACACGTCGAAAATATCTCGTCTACTATCACCTTGCGTGTTACTTCGGCCCGCCCGGGTGGCTTCGTCATAAAAATTGCTTACCCGTAAAGAGATCGTTGCACGTCGAGGAAGTAAGAGTTTCCTGGTCTGCTCCCGTGCCTTTCGTCCTGTGTGTTTTTTCCCCGAGCGTGCCTTCGCGTCGTGCTTTCGATCCGAAACGCCGAGATGCACATTTGCGGTTAATCGAGGCGTGAATGAAGAAAAACAAAGTTGCGAACCTATTTTGAGAGAGGGTGCGCGCATTAGCATCGCGAGGATTAAAAAAGAGTTAGGAGGATTTTTTATTCCGCGCTAGCAAATCGCTGAATAAGAGACCAGAAGTCGTCGAGACTTCCCGACGATTTCACGCGTGTCGAAGTAACACGTCGAGTCGAATTTACCGGAATGTGAGTTTCGCGAATTTATTTTTATTACAAATTGCCGCCGAGGCGATCGTGGTATATAGAAGCGGTTCTGTCGCGCGCGCACTTTCCTCGCCGCTGGTTAATTTATCGAGTCGTGCTCGCACCGATACCACGTGGGACGCCGTGGACACGTATAATTTATCGCGTGCCCCCTTCTTACACGCGGCGATCGTAGAAACTCGAGACGGATCCTTTGATCGACCTTGCCCTCGCTCGATTATTGAATTCTTGGGAGATCCGATCTTGTCATTTATCAGTTACGGTGTTATACGTTCTATATATAGTTGCAAAACAAACCGAGTCAAACGTACGAACGGGGGGGATTTGAGGAGAGAGCAGGTTTTTTTTTTTTTTAAATATTAATTAATTGCACTTTGATTCTCCGACAAGAGAGAATACACACGGTGGTTGTACTTGCAATTAGTTCCCGAGAAGAAAAATCCGATCTTTATGATTTCACGTTTGATTTGCAATATTCAATCTTTATACGTATATATACATATATATATACATATATATCGCGTACCGCCGCGTCATTTATTACATAATGCTAATTTTTCGGCGTAATGAGCGCGAGCGCAACATGAATTATTTCGATCATTCTTTGCATATCGGAGCGTAATCATTCGCAGTCATTCGTTATTAATTTCACGCGGCACTCAACGTATACGAACACGGCGCCGGTGCATTTACCTTCTCGCATGAGAAAAAAAAAAAAAAAAAATGAAATAAAAAAAGAAGCATTTACCGGCACACGGAATTTTCATGTACGCGCCGCCGGATCTGAAATGTGTATCTGCTCATTCATTAAACGCATTAGCGCGATTTATCAGCGATCCGGAATATATATATAGACGCGCTGTGTGCGAGATTATTACGCTCGCGTTTGCGCACCGTCGGCCGAACAAAGCGGAATAAAAGAATAAAAATGGAAAGATAAGAAAAAAAGATCGTAATCGAGGAATTCGTGACTTCTCAAATGTTAATTTCTCTTCCGTAAAACACGTTATCCGTTGAATCTCTATATTTCGGTCGCCTGTGCATCCAACTCTTCTTCGAGTTCGTTTGAATGTGGATTGTTCCATCAATTTGGTGTCTGTAATGGCGTAAATAAATGGCGTAATAAATTTCTCGAATGGGAAAAATGTTTTTCAATGCGCAACAATGTATACTTTGAACAGTCGATGCCACTGTTTTGTTATTATCACATTAAATATTATTAGACCCATATATATAATTCCACAAAATGCGTCTCGTCTTCGAAAGCGAAACTCCCGTCTTGTTATCAGCGACAAAGAATCTTGTTAGAGATTATACGAAACAAGTTTCTTCGCGAATTTTGTCGTCGGACGATGATCGCCGTACGCGGTTTCCATCCGTAGGAAGCGGTCGTCTTAAATCAACGGCACGCAAAGGAAATAGCGAGTGGTAATTGAGCCATAACCCTCGGTCGGCGAACACAAATATTTCAGCGCCGGGAGCCCGTTCATAATTTAGCCCTTATAATTAAGATGCGGCGACGACTCGCCTGGAAGCATCTCTCGCTTTCGTTACATTCGCGGGAATCGCGCCCGATAAAACGGTAAGCGTATAATATTGCATTTATTGAAATAGGCGCGTAGATAATCCGCGTTCTCGCGGTTATTATCTTCCTTTCGTGTAAATGGAAAATAAAAAAGCGCCTCCCGGAGATGCGAAAGTAACGAACGTCTCTAATTGTTTGTTTTTATTTTTACGCAAATAATAGATTT